GTTGCTAGATCAACAAGGCAGGTATGTCCACGGCAGTGACCCCTGCTACTGTGGTCTAGTTAGTGAAGCAGCATCATAGTTCCTACTTTAGCTGGAGGATGCCCTGTTAGTCGCTCCCCTCACCCTACCATGCCACAGGTCTCTGTGACTTGTTTTGCAGGAAAGAGCAATCCATACTGTGAATCAGCATGGGCTCCCAGAGCTACACACCAGAACCCTCCAGGAACACTAAATCCAAGTGAATTTTACTGCCAGTTCTTCATTAAGGATCTTTATCAGATGTGCTGTGTCTCACGATGTTTGACAGAGACCAGTTTTCTCCCGATGGTAAGTATAATTTCCTGGTTTTCTGGAATCTTTAGGGTCTAGATCCAGGGTCCAGTCATATGTACTCAGTGCCACCTACAGGAAATGACATACACCTGTGCCGCTCACTTTGGCAGCAGGTAGGTGCCCTTCCTCAGGAAGAGGGGCTGGGCCTCTGACCCAACTCTTCCACACACACAAGTAAGACTGTACTCCTTGTGTACAGAGCATTCTCTGACAGAGAGAACTGGAATTCCACATAGGCTGCTGCTCTCAGATAAATCTGATGTCAGCTGTGTGCCTCCACTGACAGTACTAAACAGCCACAATGTCAAAGGAAGTTACTGGTTTTGGGCTTTGAAAGGTTTATGAATCCTGTTAATGTAGGTTTAGAAACAATTTTGTAAAAACAGAATTTGACCTCATATGATGTTTATTCACCAGATTCCTGGGTCGTACGAAGTTCCAGTGGCAAAATTCGAACAGAACAGGAAAGCAAAGGCCTACAACCCGTCGACTACTGCTGCACGGAGTCCCACCGGGAGGTCTGGGTCCGCTTTGACCTACAGCTGTTTGAACAAAAAATCTCCTGTAGGGCTGGTGAGGGCCAAGTGATTGAACACTTGCTAGCAAGTGTGAGGCTTTGATGTTCAATCAGAACCAACCAAAAAAAAAAACCAGACAAAACTCTCCTGGTAGGAGACTGGAAAGACAGCAGGAGGGGATAACCCACAAGGCTGGGGCTTGAAGAGATCAAACAGCTTCATCTATCACAAAGCCACGCATGGCTGGGGCATGTATTTTATTGCACACTGAACTGCTAGCAATCTATGCAAACATTTCCTTATGAATAAACAAACCCACAGCACAGTGCCTTGTACTAGTGTTAACATGTTAGCTGTGTTAGATGCCAGGGGTTCCATTTTCAGGCTATAAAAGCATTATGGTGAAATGTGGGTCAGACCACCAGTTGTTACACTGCGGAGTAGTTGAAGTAGGCGGAACCATTCACACCGTGTGGCTCTACTGGTCACAGCATCAGGACGGGAGGGGTTGGGATGAAAGCTGCAGGCCTCTGTTTGCAAGCCTCATACTGAAATACGCGTCTCCTTGTGCACTGAGAGAGAAACCTGATCATTTTCTTCCTGGTTCGATTTATCATTTTCTGCTAAGACATAGAGTTTGAAATACCAAGGGGAAAGCTTGATGTACTTTAAATATGGAACTCTAATAATGTGAAATATTTTTCAACTTTAATTTTCAGAAGTATAATTATTTATTAAAATTCCTTGTTTTTGCATATTTCATAGGACATGCATCTTTAAGCTAATCGTGCCAATGTACAGAAAGAGAATAAAATATTAAGTTATGAATATAATTTCTTCAAAATTGACTACTTTCTATTGAAAAGCTCTAAAATGGAATTTCAGAGTTTGTATGTTAGATGAACCAAATCTCCTTCGATACAGTGGAAAAAACCCAAGGATGGGTGAACAGGGCCCCACAGGAGCCTAGGGTCCAGGGCTTAGCTGATCTACATGACTTGCTCTGAGCCTCTGTATAGCTATGTCCTGTTTCTGGTATCCTTGTTCCTGGTGGAGTAGAAAGCTCAGGTAACTGTAGAAGGAAGGGGTAACACACAGGATTAGACTGTCAGCAGGTCCTTTACTCTCTAGCTCAGAAGCCTCATCTTCTCTGTTCCTGTCTCATCAGAGCCACATTCATACCTGCTTGAGCTGTTTTTCGGCTTTTGAATTTTGAAATATGAATTTGTTTGCATGTTTAAGGAAGTAAGATTTTATACACTAAATGCCCGGATGAGTGAGTAAAAACTGGGAAAGATCTGAAGGAATCACCTGGCTATAAGAGCCTGACTTCTAAGGAGACATCTCTTCTTTCTCGGCAGCTAGGACCAGGTAGGATTCTGTGTCCCGAGGCTCAGAGTTCCTCTTAGCCCCCATTTCTTTTCAGCATAATCACTGGCAAAAAAGGGCTGGAAAACGTGATTCAGTACATTTCAGATTTTAAAGATCTACCGCTTACTCACTCCAGATACTGATCCTGGGCACTGAATGGTTAAAATATAAACGACACAAGTGAGACATTACGAATATGGGAGAAACCATTTCGCCTACTTCAGGAACTGGCAGGACAGGCACAGCTCGCAAGCAAGTAAACCGCTGGCCACTCTCAGGTTTTGTTGTTCTGAGGTAAGTGGGGGCTGATGTCAAAGTGGTTCACCGCTGACCAGTGACGTTCAGAGCATGATATGGCCCTGATGACGGGCAGGTGTAAAGCCAGCTGGGTGATTTGTGACCATAGCTGCAGAACAGTCCTCTTGCCAGGACTGTGGGGCTTTAGTTCTCACAAGGATGAATGTTGGCTAGTGCCATGTCACTATCTTTGATAAATGATTCTTTGATCAGACTCAGAACATAAGAGCCTGGAGAGTCTAAGTCAGCAACTAAGACTGTGGAGGATACCTCATGTCAGCACCCAGCAGAGCCAGTCAATCTTCTTGAACTAAGAACCCAGATCTGCCCTGGGAAACATAGTTCTCCCCGCCACTGAAGTGGGAACCTGATTTCTAGAGCATGTGTCATTAGGAGCAGGTGTGCCTCAACACAACTTGGAAGTCTTCCCGCTTGCTGAGAGAACCCCAGCAAACCCTACAGGGCTCCTGGGGACAGGATGCTATGACAGAGAAGGGGATAATGCCACTTTTCTACTACCATTCCCATGTCTAAGTGTCTGTGAGGAGAACATGTGCCCCGGACAGATCCCTGACTGGACTTGGAATAGAACCCTGGTACTTCCAAGCTAGGCCTGGGTCCACGCATTGGCTCAGGCCCCTCTGAGTGTAAGTATTAGGAGATCACAATGTTATCTCAGTGTTAAAATGTTTCAAAGAATACACAGTTCCTACTTCACAACCAGAGCTCCATAAAACAGTAGCTGCTATATTTGTATATTTCTTGGCAATACTTTCCACTTAGGGAGAGAAAATCCAGGTTCTTGGTATCTTAACTGCTATATACATGCTGCAAGGTGAAGCCAGTGAAGCTTTAATCCAACAGTGGCCTAGCCTGGCTGTCACCTGCAGGGAGGCCAGGCGATTCCCCAAGACCTCTGCTGTCATCACTCTTTGTCCCATAGGCAGTGGCACCCATGTGTGCCGGCCATCCGCTGCCCAGGAGCGGGGTCTCTGCCGTCGGGTCCCTGAAACCTGTTGACAGAAGGAAAGGCTGTGTGTGATGTCAGGTGAGGAGCGCTCATAGGAGGGAAGACACTGTGGCCCTTGCCCCACTTGCAGTCCTCCTTATGAGCTGGGACACTCTTTTCAACCAGGTTCCCAGCCAACCCTTTTGCCTCACTTCTCACTCTGCCTGGTTCTGCAACTCTGCACATGAGGCTTTCCAGATCTTGGCTCCATCTACTGTTTTATGGTATGACAAAGATGACTAGTTGTTCCCTCCACTGTGTTCAGACCAGCCAGGGACTGCTTCCCAGCACCCTCCTACAGTTATGTACAGCTATGAGACAGGTCCTAGCCACAGAATATCAGAGGAAGAGAACACATGCGACCTCCAGTCCTGCCACATACACCAGGGCACAACTCATCCCAGATCAGTGCTTTTTTGGTTTCAGGAGAGTCTTTTGGAAGCCAGTACTGAAGATGACAAAGGCCCATGAGAGGGTCCTGGAGGGGACAACTCTGCTGACCCACTGAAGGACTGGCACGTGAACAAAAAATAACTTGTATTCTGTTTAAACCACTATCCACTGTTGGATCTTGTGGTGACAGCAGGGAGCCTATAGTAACATTAAGATCTGAAGCAAACGTGGTGCTACACAAACTAAAAGGAACAAAAAAATAAGGATTTGGGTATGGTGTGCACACCTATAATCCCAACATGGGGGGATGTTTAGGCAAGAGATCTGGAGTCCCAAGCCAGCCTCAGCTACATAGTGAAACCCTGTCTCAAATACAACAAACTAAAAAAAAAAAGTATCTCCCTGGATTCTCACATACAATTATGCTCAGGGGAAGCTGCAAAGGGAAGTCATGTAATAACCTACCAACAAGAAGAATGCCTTTCTCTCCAGGAAAACTGAGAACAATGGGATCAGAAGGAGTTGGGTCACTAAATGTCTGGCCAGGACCTTGATGTGTGGTGGAAGCGAGAAGGGGTGGGGACAGGCCAAGGAAAATAGACAAAGAGCTGTCAGCTGAACCCACCCAATTGCAAGTGCTAGATGAGGAAAAATTCCTGCAATAAAATACCTTTTAAATATCTAAAGTCTCATTCTGCCCACTTTTTTTTTTTGTATAAATTTCATTTCAGAAATTTCCCACCTGAACAAATTTTGCAACTGAACAAAATTTTCTGTCAGGTTGGGATGTAGCAAGTGGTAAACGATAAAAAAACAAAAACAAAAACAAAAAAATATCCCAGCATGGCAAAGAATCAGGGGGAAGCAGAAGCCTCAGAGGGCGACCCTCTGGCTTCACCTCTAAGAGTAGGTCTGCACCTGAAAGCACAAGGTCCCACTGTGCTACTCTGCATTTCTACCCCCCACCCCAGACTGCCCTGCCTGGAAATACCGCAGAGCAGCAGTGCCAGCCCAGCACCCCTGACCATGCCTACATGAAATAAAATTCTTCCTTCTGCCACTATTTTCCACTTCCTTTTCTAGATGCTGCCTCCCTGCCACGGGAGCCCGGATGGAGGGCTAGCCAGGGCTCCCACTTGCTTGCTGTCCAGTGGGCATGGCAACATCAGGCCTGACCACCCTGCACCCAGCTTCTCGCTCACTAGGCCCTCCTTGTCTCCTCTTTGTTCTTCTCGCTTGAGTTTTTGAGAAGCAGAACTGCTTTCGAAAGTCATCTGACTTAGGTCAGTCATCTTCTCTTCACCAAGCAGATGCTTTTCTCTCGCACAGACGAGGTTTGCGCACTGTGAAGTAGACAATATTATCTCAGCTCAGCAAACCTGAAATCATACCATTCTGAAAATTAACGTACTGAACTGGATACTCACTGTATGAAAAAGAAAGCCCAACCAGACATCCTTCTGTTTGGCTTGGATAAGTGTCCTATAAAGGCTTAGTTCCCAAGGTGGTGGTCTTGGTTCCCAAGGTGCTGTGGACTTTCAAGAGATGAGGCCTAGAGTGGTCACAGAGGCATACCTTGAAAGGGACAGTGGGAGCCAGGTGCCAGTGGCCCACACCTATAATCCTAGCTACTCAGGTGTCAGAGATCAGGAGGATGGATGGTTCAAAGTCAGCCCAGGCAAATAGTCTGAGACTCTATCTTGAAAAAAACCCATCACAAAATAAGAGCTGTTGAAGTGGCCCAAGTGGTAGAGCTCCTGCCTAGCCAGCATGAGGCCTTGAGTACAAACCCAGTGCCACCAAAAAAAAAAAAAACAGGAAGGAAGACATCGACCCTGGTTTCTTCCTTTCTCTCTGCTTCCGGCTCATGATGTGAGTGACTGGCTACTCAAGGGCTCCGCCATGATGTGCTGTCTTTGCCAGTGATCCAAAGCAATTGCTGCCACTCAGGTATTTCCACTGTAGTAACATGAAGCTGACTAAGCGAGCTCTCAATCTTCTGCCCCACCCACTCCTGCTGGTACAACCTTTGTGGAAGGCATGAGTTATGAGACACTTCTCCAGCTGGGGCTGAGTTATGAGTGGGACCAAAAGGGAAGCTCTGAATTCTCAAACTGGAAAGTCCAGGCAGAAGTGGGGCATCTGCTTTCTAGGACATGCACAAGACAGCAGAGAAAGTGGTGTGAAGAGAATCAGAAATGAAGCAGGTTCACAGAGAAAGCAATAGTGCAAGCTACATAGTCCAAGAGAGGAGGGGACTGGCCTCATGGTCCTCATGAAGCTTTCTGGCCTTGGCTTCCCAGCGTATTGGTGCTTTCCAACATATGTAGCCTCCACCCCCTTTTTTCCTTGAGAAGGAGTCTACTTTTTGTAATCAAAGCACTTCTGACTGATCTATCTTGCTTGTAAGTCCTTTCTTACTTTCATCAATAGCCATGTGAGGCAGTCTCTGGGCAGCTCCTTTCCGAGGGCTGGCACCAGGGCTGCCATCCCTGCCCCAGAAGCCCAGCCCTGCATTCAGAATAAGCCTCACTTCTCCATTTAGTCACCTCCTGTGATGTCCTATTGACACAGCCCTGCCCTCAGGCCTCTGCTGGATGGAGCTAGAATGGCAAAGACAAGTGACTCAGGCAACAGTGACTTTACTCAGAGACTCTTGAGGTTAACATACATTCCTTTTCTCTCAGGATGAGGGAAAATAAAGTATCAAGAGAGCATAGTGACTGGAGGTGTGGTTTAAGCCGTAGAGCTCCTGCTTTGCAAGCATGAAGCCTGAGTTCAAATGCCTGTCCCACCAAAAAAAAAAGGAGTAAGAGAGAATAAGGGGGGAGGTGGGGTGAGAGCACGTGTCTGTAATCCCAGCTACTCAGAAAGCAGAGATCAGGAGGATCATAGTTTAAGGCCAGTTGAGCAAAAAGTTAGCAAGACCCCATCTCAACAAACAGCCAAGAAAGGTGGTCTCATCTGCAATCCAGCTACATGGGATTGTGAAGGTAAGAGAATCACAGTCTGAGACTGGTCCCAGACAAAAGTGAGATCCTATTGAGGCAGGCCAGAGTTAGGGAAAATTTGGGACTCATAGAAAATATATGGAAGATGGTGACTAGAGGGAGGAAGCAGAAAGCGTGCTTCCTAAAGCAAAGGCTTGGAGAGAGGCTGCAGATACACCTGGCAGGAAAAAACACCAAGAAGAGGCAAAACTCCACACCCCCAGCCTGCACATAGCATCCCCACCGCATGTTAAACCAGGAGGGCTCGCTCCCACGCCACCAGACGCCAGCTCCTACCCTGCTGGGAGACCACAAGTAAATGGATGGAACTGGAGAACATCCATTCTGAGTGAGGTTAGCCTGGCCCGAAGACCAAAAATCATATGTTCTCCTCATATTGTGGACATTAGATCAAGGGCAAAACACAACAAGGGGATTGGACTTTGATCACATGATAAAAGCGAGAGCACACAAGGGAGGGGTGAGGATAGGTAAGACACCAATCTAAGCAGAAAGACATTCCATACGTAGATGCAAGAGGCTCCCGGCACCAAACACGACCAGATCAAAATAGAACTACCCACGACATATCATCATTAAAACAACAAGTAAACGAAACTAGAGGAAAGAATATTGAAGGCTGTAAGAGAGAAAAAACAAATAACATACAAAGGTAAACCATCAAAATCACAGAACTTCTCAACAAGACATTAAAAGCAAGAAGAGATGGGGTGAGATCTTTCCAGGCACTGAATGAAAATAAACTTCAACCCCAGGATACTCTACCCAGCAAAACTATCATTCAAAATAGATGGAGCAATAAAAGTCTTCCATGATAAGCAGAAACTAAAACAATATGTGACCACAAAGCCACCATTACAAAAGATTTTCAAGGATTCTGCACACAGAAAGTGAAACCCAACTTATCCATGAAAAGACAGATAGCACCAAACCACAGGAAAAGAAAAAGAAAGTAGAGAGTAACCTCAACTTAGGTGCACACAATCAAACCTTCAAACAACTAAGACAACTAAATGACAGGAATCACCACATACCTATCAGTACTAACGCTTAATGTTAAGGACTTAATTCCCCCATCAAAGGCACCTTGACAAACTGGATTAAAAAGGAAGATCCAACAATTTGTTGCTTACAGGAGACCTCTCACCGACAGAAATAAGCATAGGCTTAGGATGAAAGGCTGGAAGAAGATTTACCAAGCCAATGGCCCCCAAAAACAGGCAGGAGTAGTAATACTTATCTCTGACAAAGTAGACTTCAAACCTACATTGATCAAACAAGATAAAGGAGGACATTCCACACTAATAAAAGGGGAAATAGACCAAAAGGAAATAATAATTATCAACCTATATGCACCCAATGTCAAACACCCAATTTCATCAAACATACCCTGAAAGACCTAAAAGCATATATAAATCCAACACAGTGGTTGTGGGAGATTAACACCCATTATCATCAATAGATAGGTCATCCAAACAAAAAATCAATAAAGAAATCCAAGATCTAAAATATACAATAGATCAAATGGACCTACTTGATGTCTACAGAACATTTCATCCAACTTCTACACAATATACATTCTTCTCAGCAGCCCATGGAACCTTCTCCAAAATAGATCATATCCTAGGGCACAAACAAGCCTCAGCAAATATAAGAAAATAGAAATTATATGCATACTATCTGATCACAATGCAATAAAAAGAACTCAACAACAAAAGTAAAGACAACATGCAAACAGCTGGAAACTGAAAAACTCATTACTTAAACAATGGGTCATTGATGAAATAAAAGAGGAAATTAAAAAGTTTGGAAGTCAATGAAATGAAAACACAACCTACCGGAACCTATGGACACAGCTAAGGCAGTCCTGAGAGGAAAGTTTATAGCCATGAGTGCATATATTAAAAAGACTGAAAGATCCCAAATCAAATGACCTAATGATACATCTCAAACTCCTAGAAAAACAAGAACAAGCAAATCCAAAACAAATAGAAGGAGAGAAATAATAAAAATAAGAGCTGAAATCACAAAATAGAAACCAAAAAACCATACAAAGAATTAATGAAATAAAAAGTTGGTTCTTTGAAAAAATAAACAGGATTGATAGACCCATGGCAAACCTGAATAAAATGAGGAGAAAAAACCCAAATTAGTAGAATCAGGAATGCAAAAGGGGAGATAACAACAAACACCATGGAAGTTCAGGAAATCATCAGAGACTACTTTGAGAACCTATATTCAATAAATTTGAAAATCTTAAAGAAATGGACAGATTTCTAGATACATATGATCATCCAAAACTGAACCAAGAGGAAATTAATCACCTGAATAGATCTATAACACAAAATGAAATTGAAGCAGCAATCAAGAGTCTCCCCAAAAAGAAAAGTCCAGGACCTGATGGATTCTCTGCTGAATTCTATCAGACCTTTAAAGAAGAACTGATACCAACCCTCCTTAAACTGTTCCATGAAATAGAAAGGGAAGGAAAACTGCCTAACACATTTTATGAAGCCAGTATTACACTTATCCCAAAACCAGGCAAAGACACCTCCAAAAAGGAGAACTATAGGCCAATCTCCTTAATGAACATTGATGCAAAAATCCTCAAAAAATAATGGCAAACCGAATTCAACAACACATCAAAAAGATTATTCACCACGACCAAGTAGGCTTCATCCCAGGATGCAGGGTGGTTCAACATACGAAAATCAATAAACATAATAAACCACATTAACAGAAGCAAAGACAAAAACCACTTGATCATCTCAATAGATGCAGAAAAAGCCTTTGATAAGATCCAACACCATTTCATGATAAAAGCTCTAAGAAAACTAGGAATAGAAGGAAAGTACCTCAACATTATAAAAGCTATATATGACAAACCTACAGCCAGCATTATACTTAACGGAGAAAAACTGAAACCATTCCCTCTAAAATCAGGAACCAGACAAGGATGCCCACTATCTCCACTCCTATTCAACATAGTACTGGAATTCCTAGCCAGAGCAATTAGGCAAGAAGAAGGAATAAAAGGAATACAAATAGGTAAAGAAACTGTCAAAATATCCCTATTTGCAGACAACATGATCCTATACCTTAAAGACCCAAAAAACTCTACTCAGAAGCTTCTAGACACCATCAATAGCTACAGCAAGGTAGCAGGATATAAAATCAACATAGAAAAATCATTAGCATTTCTATAAACTAATATTGACAAACTGAAAAGAATATATGAAAACAATTCCATTTACAATAGCCTCAAAAAAAATCAAATACCTAGGTGTAAACCTAACAAAAGATGTGAATGACCTCTACAAGGAAAACTATAA